CCTCCAGCTCTTTGTACTTTTTTCCATGATCAGAAGTATTTAGAGTCTGTTTTAAAGAAAGATGCATAAATACGAGAGATAGAGTCCGCACACACAAAGGCTTTTATCTCAAATTCTTTCAGGGAGATGTAACTTTTTTAAAAAACGTCTTTCAAGATAAGGCATTGTGCAAATGAAAACACTTGAAATTTTTCCTCTTTCGAAGTTTTCTTTGTGACTATGGTTCTTTTGGCTCCAGGTTGAGGGAACATTTTCCAGAGGAGAATGGTATTTGATTGTTTCATCTTGGAGCATTGAGAAAATCACTTTGTCTTCCTCCTACTTCCCCGTATTTTAAGAGTAGCCCTTGAGTCATAATTGCATGTTCACGTTTAAGGCGTTTCATTTGCGTTCACAGTTTACCCTGGAATGCTTCTTTCACACACATACTTGGCACATAGGTACTCCAGCGTCTCAGGTTTTATCCGTCTCTACTTCTCGACTCTATTTCATCTTGTTTGAATCTTTCTAATTAGTGGTTTCATTTTCTAGATGTTCTGTTACATTTCCCACCCATGTAGGCTTGTTTTTTCCTTTCTGCCTGACAGAACAGACGCAGAACTGTAAATGGATAGCTCTCTCATCATTTTTACTCTCATCATTTTTATTCTATTGTCCTTATTAGGTTATTTTAGTTTTGTCTTCCTTTTTCTGTTTGGTTCCACTCAGATCTCCACAGAGTTGAATTTCAGGGTCATTTGCAGGTATATTTAAAGAGGTATGAAGATGTAAGTCTAGGGGTTTGGGAATGTCATAACCAGAGAATGAACTGAAATCAGTGTTTCCAGATGGGTCAAATAAATAGGCCTTCAACCAAGCAAGACAGCACGTGTCCTTACTTTGCGTATGTATTATAGCTGTTGGTATCCTGGATTTTTCAGTTGACAACAAGCAACTTGGAATTGTAACTTGAGAATTAAGAGCTGTACCCTTTAAAGGTTCAGGCAATTTCCAGTATGTGCTTAGAGAGAAACAGATCTCAAGTATGACTTGGGTTTGATTCAGTTTTCCTATCCAAAAGATAGGCTAATAATACCTAGCTCATACAGATTGAACGCATTCACGAATGCTGAGGAGCTGGCATACTGCCTAGGGCGTAGAATGTGCTCCAGAAATGCTACCCACTCCCCCATCAGCGTCACGACCACCTCATCTCCTGTGCTGTGGACCATTCTCTCTGGTAGCCTCGAAGGCTTTTCCCAAGTGCTTTGGTCCATAACGCCCCCCACCCCTCACCTCTTCTGTACAGACACTCTTTGATAGGTAATTTGCCTATGTGTTTTAGAAGTGGCTGAAAGTGTGTAGGGAGGGAATCCAGAAATTCAAAAGTCTGTCCACTTCTGATTTAATAGTTAATCTTTATCATCTGGGTTTAAACCAGATGTATTATTTACCTCTTGCTGTGTGAGAAACTATCTGAAACTTAGCAGCTTAAGGCAACCAGTCCTTCCTGTCTCCCGGTTACTGTGGGTCAGTAATTCAGGAGCAGCTTAGAGCTGAGTGGCCCCGGCCCGCGTTCTCTCGTGAGGTTGTTAGTCAGGGCCGCGTCGTCTGAAGGCCTGACTGGGGGGAGAAGAATCGATTCCAAGCTTCTCAGTGCCTTGCTGGCTCGTGGTCACCTCATGGGGAAGAACCTTGGCCCTTCTCCACACGGTTACTCGAGTGTCTTCACAATCTGACAGCCATCCTCCCCCAGAGCAAACGGCCCGAGAGGGAGCTGGGAGGCCCCAGTACCGCGTCCAGCCTGTGCTCAGAAGCCTCGGGCCATCTTTTCCGACCCCGCTGGGGTCACTGAGTCAGGACCCGGCCCACCTCCTCTCCTTGGGCCTCACACATAGGTACTCCAGCGTCTCAGGTTTTATCTGTGTCTACTTCTCGACTCTATTTCATCTTGTTTGAATCTTTCTAATTAGTGGTTTCATTTTCTAGATGTTCTGTTACATTTCCCACCCATGTAGGCTTGTTTTTTCCTTTCTGCCTGACAGAACAGACGCAGAACTGTAAATGGATAGCTCTCTCATCATTTTTACTCTCATCATTTTTATTCTATTGTCCTTATTAGGTTATTTTAGTTTTGTCTTCCTTTTTCTGTTTGGTTCCACTCAGATCTCCACAGAGTTGAATTTCAGGGTCATTTGCAGGTATATTTAAAGAGGTATGAAGATGTAAGTCTAGGGGTTTGGGAATGTCATAACCAGAGAATGAACTGAAATCAGTGTTTCCAGATGGGTCAAATAAATAGGCCTTCAACCAAGCAAGACAGCACGTGTCCTTACTTTGCATATGTATTATAGCTGTTGGTGTCCTGGATTTTTCAGTTGACAACAAGCAACTTGGAATTGTAACTTGAGAATCAAGAGCTGTACCCTTTAAAGGTTCAGGCAATTTCCAGTATGTGCTTAGAGAGAAACAGATCTCAAGTATGACTTGGGTTTGATTCAGTTTTCCTATCCAAAAGATAGGCTAATAATACCTAGCTCATACAGATTGAACGCATTCACGAATGCTGAGGAGCTGGCATACTGCCTAGGGCGTAGAATGTGCTCCAGAAATGCTACCCACTCCCCCATCAGCGTCACGACCACCTCATCTCCTGTGCTGTGGACCATTCTCTCTGGTAGCCTCGAAGGCTTTTCCCAAGTGCTTTGGTCCATAACGCCCCCCACCCCTCACCTCTTCTGTACAGACACTCTTTGATAGGTAATTTGCCTATGTGTTTTAGAAGTGGCTGAAAGTGTGTAGGGAGGGAATCCAGAAATTCAAAAGTCTGTCCACTTCTGATTTAATAGTTAATCTTTATCATCTGGGTTTAAACCAGATGTATTATTTACCTCTTGCTGTGTGAGAAACTATCTGAAACTTAGCAGCTTAAGGCAACCAGTCCTTCCTGTCTCCCGGTTACTGTGGGTCAGTAATTCAGGAGCAGCTTAGAGCTGAGTGGCCCCGGCCCGCGTTCTCTCGTGAGGTTGTTAGTCAGGGCCGCGTCGTCTGAAGGCCTGACTGGGGGGAGAAGAATCGATTCCAAGCTTCTCAGTGCCTTGCTGGCTCGTGGTCACCTCATGGGGAAGAACCTTGGCCCTTCTCCACACGGTTACTCGAGTGTCTTCACAATCTGACAGCCATCCTCCCCCAGAGCAAACGGCCCGAGAGGGAGCTGGGAGGCCCCAGTACCGCGTCCAGCCTGTGCTCAGAAGCCTCGGGCCATCTTTTCCGACCCCGCTGGGGTCACTGAGTCAGGACCCGGCCCACCTCCTCTCCTTGGGCCTCCGTCGCTGCTCCATCCTGCACGCCCCTTGCAGGGCCTCACTTTCCCATCTCAGCAAACAGAGGCTCCTGCCTGGGGTCACCGTGAAAATGCAGTGAGGCACGCAGCATGAAAGGGCACCGTTGGAGAGACCGAACAGCCCAGTGCAGACGCCGTAACTATAGAGAAACCGAATCGCGTCCACCCAGCTTCCGCTCCGGTGTCTGTTCACAGAGGCGCCCTCTGTCAAAGCTCTCAGGCCTCCGAGAGGCTCTCTGAGCGTCAGTCTGCTCAGGACACAGGGGCTGGGACCCCGGCCGCTCCATCTTCTCCTGGCGGAGCCGCGCTGCAGCCCTTCAGAACAGCAGCTCGGTCCTGGGGGATCCTGCTCGGATTGCTCCAGGAGCGCGTGGTGTTCTTCGTCACAACTTTGCTCCTCGGGAGCTGTTTCTTCACACCGGGACCAGAGTTTCGACTAGACCCCCAGCTGGATGACCATCCCCTGCCCTAGAGCACACCACCCCAGGGCCCAGGGGTCTAGTCCAGGAGTCCTGGGGTCACTGGAAGCGAAACTTCTTTGGGAACTAAGTGCTGTTTTTTATTTTTATATCTGGGTCCTTTCTTGCCAAATAACTGTGACCTCCTTGAGGTTAACCCGGAGGCCCAGACCTGGTGTGAAGTCGGGGGTGTTAGCAGACCCTCCCCCATTTTCCTTTGCAGGCTCACGGCTGTCATCAGCATCAAGCATGTCCATATTGCACACACCCTGCGGTAGCCCTGTTTTTCTCAGCTTGCATGTCCCTCACCTGTTATCTTTAGAAAGCTGGTTTTAAAATGCTAGTCAGTGAGCACTGGCCCACACATGGTGCCACCCCTGGCCCACACATGGTGCCACCCCTCAGAAGTTTCCAGAGAAAGGGAAGCGAAATACGGTTCTCACTTCATCCTTGCAGGATAACTGACCCATCACATTCCACACCCCCATAGGGTCTCTCTCCAGAAAGCTAGAGAGGACGGAGGCCATGTTCTCCCTTCTTTGGGGGTGACCCTTGCATTCTAGTCACGGCGTTTATGGGTTGGGAAGCAATCTCCTAAGAATTGAAGAGCGACATCTGAGACTTGAGGGTTACAGGAGTTTGGAAATGCTATATTGTTGTTTTTGTTACCTTAGTTTTGAAAGCCATGTTCCCCTTGCAATGAGCTCTTAATTTATAACTAAAACATGCACATTGAATTGTCCAGGGGAGAAGAGTTTGCCCAGGTAAGCCTATCTTGGCTCCGGAATTAGAGCTCACCGAGGGTACAGAGTGGACTCTGCTGGAGATTTCAGGGACCTGCCACCTGGCCTGGGTCTCCCCATCTCTGGTCCAGCTGGCTGTCAGGAAGCCTCCGATGAGCAGCGTCCATGTTAGTTCTGAGCTACATTAGTTGAGCTGGAAATATTTGCCCCTTTTTAATCATAAACCAGGTAGTCATGGAAATGACACCAAGCCTCTGGCTACCCAGTAAACCACATGCAAATGGTGGAAATAAGACTGACATGGTATGCAAATTAACTTCCTGAGTAAATAAAAGACTTGGCTGCCTGGTCTCCTGACTACATGCTTTTGGTGCAGGCTTGTTTATTAGGATTCTCAGTGATTTGAAAAATATAATCACAACCATGATCTCAATGCTTGTTTTTTTTGTTTCTTGTTTTTTTGTGTGTCTGTTTCAGATATATCAACACTCCTATACTGGATATTATGTCCTGAGCAAAATCCCTCATGGGTAAGATGGTTCTTTCATTTTCTTCTAATGAGAAATCTGCAGAACAGAGCAGAGTGGAATGCTGACTGGTTGCTTAATTCCTAGGGCAGGAAATATGGCACCTTAGCTTTTGACAGTGAGGTGTCCTGAGGCTGTGGGAACCTCTGGGGTGCCCCCAGGCCCCGGGGTGGGGGTGGGGGTGTCACTGAGTCCAGCTGCTCGCCTGTTAGTGAAGCCCCCTTCCCAGAGAAGCTCTGGCCTCCAGGTTCCAGGTCCTGCAGGACAAGATGCTGTCTGCCCCCAATCACGAACCCCGCACCCCTATGCTTTGTAATCACCTGCAGACCCTCTGGAGCTTGGTGATTCACCTGCTGGCCCCCAGGAGGGTTCCCAGTTTATATACACAATAGAAAGGGAAGCACCCTAAGCGCATCTTGTTTCTCAAAATGGGAAGATTTGGGACCCAGAAGTGTGAGTGGGAAGGAAAAGATGTGAGTGCATGATTTTGCAGAGTTTTCAGCTCTGGGTATACACAGCGGGGTGTGTTATCAAGGGCTCATCTCTGGAATCCAGAGGTGTTGATTCGAGGTTAAAGTTGGATGAAGCCATTTGTTGAGTTGGTGCATGGAAAACCAGTTGCAGAACAAGGAAAGTGAGGCAAGGATGGTGTTTCCTTGCCTCTGTATCTGGTTTTTCTTTCTTCCCCCTCCTCCCTCCTCCTTCCTCCCCTCCCCACACCCCCACGCCGCCCTCCTTCTTGTCCTCATCTCTACCCTCCACGGTTTCTCTCACTTTGTTTTTTGACAAGGTGAGGTACTCAGGAAATGTTCAAAGACATTGGGTTGTGCTGCTGGCAATATTGTGTGGTTTCCCGTGACGACTTAGGGGGAGGCATCCTAATTTTCCTAAGCAAATGCAAATAAACAGCAGGAGTTGATAAAAAAATATTGTTCTGTAGGAGAGCATTGATCACAGAATGGATGTTTCACAGCTAAGTTGGGTAGAATATGGGCATATCCTTGGAAAACAAGCATGGAGAAAATAACTTCATTTTGGACGTCAAATAAATAAGGATGCCTGTAAATATGCGGCAAAATGTGATTAATCGCTTCTGTTAGAATATTAGAAAAATCAAGCCCCAAGAAACTAAAGATGACCCCCTGTCATGAAAATAAAGTATCCATGGGCATGTTTTATTTAAAGCTTAGTTCAGATAGAAACTCAAATGTCTTTCACAGAGGAGGGAGTATTCTATTATTTTTCAAGCAGATATGCACCTTCAAAGGTCACTGCCAGCAGGGGTGTAATTATGCCTTGAGATTTATCTACCCCTCTGGGAGCAATAGAATTTATCCTAGATGAAGGATAAATTTGTAAAGCTCAAAACTCTAAGAGCGTTTTGTGCTTGACACATGGTGTACATATTTTACTGCATCAGTTAGCATTTGAAATATGTTCTCCTGGCATGAGAGTTTGCCAGATGGACCGCAAACCTGAGGACAAGGTGGTCTGTGCTGAAGGCTTGGTTTCAGTGCTCACGGTGAAGGTGATAATCCCCCCATAGAGGATGTCAGCAGAGAGTGAGCTGCTTTCTGTGTTTTTAAACAATCACGGTAATCAGCACTGCCTTCACGTATTGATTGGGTCTCATGTGTGTTCACCCTAGCGCGTCAGTCTTGCAAGAAAATCGTTGTCTTCCTCCGTCCTGTCTTCTCACGGCCGGTGTCCAGGAGACCTGGACACCAACACAGCCTGGGGTCACCATCCACCTCAAACACCCCGTGGGTGTTACACTGTAGCTGCAGATATCAGACTTCTAACGATGCTGATGCATTGCTTTCCCAAGTGTTACCGAACCAAACGTGGGTTTGCTTGCCCAAGCGCAGTAAAGCCAATCTGCTGACACCAGGCTGTGGGGAAGGAAAGTGCACGTTGATTGCAGGCGCCAAGCAAGGAGTTCAGACAGCTGGTGCTTCAAAGGCCCAGATTCCCGAAGGCTTCAGGAAAGGGTTTTTAAAGACAGGGTGAGGGAGGGGGATTGTGGGTTATGTGACCAGCTCACGGACGGTCTTCTGATGGACTGGTGGTGAGGGGAGTAAGCGTCAACATGTCCTTTTGGTTCCAACTGCTCTGGGGCCGCTGTGCTTGTGTGCTGCATACAGTTAACTTCTCCCGCCTGGCGGGGGCGTCAGTATCTGCAAGACAGCCCAGAGGATGTGGCTCGGAATACGATCCTTAGCCCTCCAGGAGGAGCTAAAAGTCCTTGACTTTGATTAATGGCTAAACTATTATTATGTCACCTTGTTTGGCTTTTTTCGTTTCTTTTTGCATCTTCTTACTTCTCAGATTAAATTTAATCTTGGGAACTTGAGGAAAACCTAGGCAGGCTACAGTTTTTCTACAGACAAGAGGCTGGTGGAGCACATGGCTTGGGGAGGAGTCTCTTCCAGGAAGGCCCCATAGGGTCCTGCTCAGTTACATAAAGACTTTCATAGGATTGAAAGATGTGATAGAATACTTGCTGCATTTATGGGAAACAGCCTCTGGTGGGTGAGGACCTCTATGATTCATCTCATCATCACGTAAACTGAAGCATCTCCAAGAATGGCATTCATTGTTTGACCACCCAAGTCCTCCTCTTTATCATAAGATCATTTTGTTGTTGGTGGTCAGTCACTCAGTCATGTCCCACTCTTTGCCTCTTTGTGACCCCATCGTGGACTGCAGCTCGCCAGGCTTCCGTGTCCTTCATCATCTCCCGGAGCTTGCTCAAACCCATGTCCATCGAGTCGGTGATGCCATCCAACATCTCACCCGCTGTCGTCCCCTTCTCCTCCTGCCCTCAATCTTTCCCAGCATCAGGGTCTTTTCCAAACAGTCAGTTCTTTGCATCAGGTGGCCAAAGTATTGGCTCTTCAGCTTCAGCGTCAGTCCTTCCAGTGAATATTCAGGGTTGATTTCCTTGTCATTTATGAACATTAAATGAATGAATTTGGAGTATCGTCAAAGTCTTCTTTGTGTTAATGAGACAGTGGATTCCAAACGGGGTGAGCCTTAAGGCCTTGAGCTTTTGCAGCTTCAGTGTCCGAAAGAGGCTTGTGGAGCTCAGTCAGCTGTGCCAGGGCCCTGCCTGGTGGCTGAGCCTGGAGGCGGGCTTGGGCGGGTGAGGAAAGCACAGTTGTCTCTTTAAATAGAAACGTCTCTATGAAAACATTTAAATTAGCATTTACTCATAGGGCAGAACATATGCGAGCTCCTCCTGATATTTCTGAAGACACAGACGTGTATGTTTTTCTCCCTTTTTCTCACCTCTCCTCTCATCCCTCTCTCCCCACAGTCCCTCACTTCCAGTCCAAGGCCATTCAATCTGCAGGATGGGATTACTTGGCATTTATAACTTAGATTTTCTCCCTTAGCTTCAGGCTTTCCGAAGAATCACAGAGATGACCCGAATTAATTTTTCAGCACCCTCTAAACTCTGGCTTCCTTCCTTTTGCCCAGTGATGGAAGAATCTGGGGTGGGTGTGCCCTCTCTTCTGTCTCTCTCACGAGCGAGAAGGAGGCCCCCCTGACCCATGTTTAAGCCCCTCCATCCCCAGGTCTGACCTCCGCAGCTGGAGCCTGGGGTAGACCCCAGGGCGCATGCACTGGCTCAAGTCATATGAGAACCCCGAGCCGGCTGAATTCTCATCTGCTCAAGGATCTAGGGCCTCGTGGTAGGGGTGTTTGACTTTCACGTACTAAATTTTCAAAAGCTGTGTTCTCAGAGGACGTGTGTCTTTTACACAGATTTGTTTAGTAAGCCAGAATTAAAGCTAGTTATTTTTTAACATAAAGTATTTTACTAAGTGTTTATATCGGAACTACAGCCAAATAAAGCAGCGCTTCATGAGAGAGATTGATAGAGATGGTAGCCAGCTAAATGTTCTCTATTAAGGGTCTGTCGTGTGTTTTCATAGCGGTTTTTGATAGATGTGCTGTTTCTTAAGTTTTTCTGACATGAGTTTTTTCTTGGGTTAGTTTTCCCTTCGACTTCAGTGTTTTTCTTTAAAAAATTATATTTCTATGTAATTCTCAATTTTTCATATCTATTAGGATCATTCTGGAAATCATATGGGCTGGAGAAACTCAATCCTTTCATAACAGACTCCAATTTTAAGAAAAATTTGGCATGCCCCTTAATTAGGTAGCATTGGCATTTTGGGGTTTGGCAAATAGAGCGATAATAGAACAGAAACTGAGAAGAATGTGAAGCTATTTTGGGGCACATGTCAGGTCATCTTCTGTGGATATTGTTGCCCTAACCTTGCTTATTTACCTTTACCAAACAAATTGCACAGAATTGGATTCCTTTGGAATTCTGGCTGACTTATGAAGTCACATCTGTGAAAATAATGAACTGAGACATAGATTCCTTCTGCCCAGGGTTACTCTCTAACTTATAGGCTGGGACATAGAAGAGCATTCCTTTTATTTAGAAAATGGACACCTAGGTTGAGAGCACACCACAGCGCCCAGCACCTTGCCTGACCTCGTGACTCGGGAGTTACAGACTGAGGCCTGGGGTCACGGAGACCCGAATGCGAGTCCCAGCTGGCAGCTGCCTCTAGGCTGTGTGACCTTGAGAGCCACTGTTCTTCTCCGGAGCTTCGTGCCCACGTTTTTATAAAGATGTTAACAACAGTGCCCACTTCATAGGCACCCGATAAGAATTAAGGGCAATGATACATGTGCAGTGCACAGCAGAGAATTTCGCTCCAAGTGACTGCCTGGGAATGTTATTTCTTCATATTATAATATGTCCTCAATATGTATTTGTAGTCTCATAATTAAATCTTATCAGACTTTACTTTCTAGCCCAGCTCAAATCCTTTCTGTTATAAGGAGAGGAATGATATAATCCCTACCATAATAAAATTCCCTTTAAAAATTTTTCAAAGCTAAGACCTATTTCATGACACTTGGGTGATTAAAATGCCCATTTGATTTTCACTTCTGTCTTAAAAGTGATGTCTATAGCC